CTGTTACCTATTAAACCTTGTTTTCGTTACCTGTGTCTTGCACATATTTTTTGGTTCTCTGTCTCATCCTCTGTTCAGTTAACTTCTCCTTTTTCCACGACTCTCTCTGTCGTTCTCTGTGTCTGTCTTTGTGTCTCACCCCCTGCTCGTCACCCTTCCCCAGGTGTGCGTGACTGGCACAGGTCGACCAGAGGCCCCCAGGGAATATAGCGCTGGGTTTGAGATAATCCCTCCGTTGATAAGTCACGTGAATCTGGACAGAAATGTGTTCGTCCCTAAATTGACCTCGACAGCGTATGTCACATACACACACACACACACACACACACACACACACACACACACACACACACACACACACACACACACACACACACACACACACACAAAGCCTCGCGGCTGAGAGGATAGCACTCGGGGGTCGAAGTCCTAAGGGCCCGGGTTTGATTCGCGACCGAGGCAGAAATAAATGGGCAAAGTTTCTTTCACTCTGCTAAATCTGTTCACCGAGCAGTAAAAATAGGTTCTTGGGAGATAGATGCTTAATGAGAAAAGGCTGCTACGGGCTGATTCCTGTGTGTGTGTGTGTGTGTGTGTGTGTGTGTGTGTGTGTGTGTGTGTGTGTGTGTGTGTGTGTGTGTGTGTGTGTGTGTACTCACCTGGCTGTACTCACCTAGTTGTGCTTGCGGGGGTTGAACTCTGGCTCTTTGGTCCTGCCTCTCAACCGTCAATCAACTGATGTACGTGTGTGTGTGTGTGTGTGTGTGTGTGTGTGTGTGTGTGTGTGTGTGTGTGTGTGTGTGTGTGTGTGTGTGTGTGTGTGTGTGTGTGTGTGGTGTGTGTGTGTGTGTGTGTGTGGGTTCGATCTTAAAATAACTCGTGCGTGTTAAGAATGTGCATTGAACGAGTGGGTGGGGAATATTGACCAGAGGACTAGGAAGGACAACCGTAGCGAGAAGGCAGGGAGTGGGAGTACTGTCCAGAGGGGGTGTGGGGCAGATGGGGTGACGGAAAAGGGGTGATGGGGAGGGAGGTTGGAAATAGGAGGAAGGAAACAATAGGGGGGGGGGAGGGATAGGAAGAATAAAGAGGGGAGGGAAGGAGGTAATGGGAAAGGATGGTTGGAGATCAAATGCTTGGACCCAATTTTTTAAGAGTAATTGATGTTGAGTAAGTGCCCAACATGGATGGTTTGGGGTTGGTGTCAATAAAAGTAGTGCCACTTGACAAGGTACTAAAGTGACCTGCACTTCAAATATTGCAATGTCATGCAAACTCGTCTCTGGTCTACTTGTCATTTGTGTTACTATTTTATAAAACATAGGATACTGATCATCGCAAAATTTTCAATTTTTTTTAATTCATACTTTACCTGCAATAGTGTGTAATACATGATCATGACATCATAAACAATGAGTCCTTTATGGTCATTGTCCTTTTCATCCACGCACGCAATTTCTCTCAAGAATCAGCCAATCATTTGTCCAGAATGTGACTGGTCATAATGATAGCGATGCATGATAGCGATGCATTTGTCTAGCCCTCATTCTCTTCAACCCTACTTACATACACCCCTACCAGAGAGAGAGAGAGAGAGAGAGAGAGAGAGAGAGAGAGAGAGAGAGAGAGAGAGAGAGAGAGAGAGAGAGAGAGAGAGAGAGAGAGAGAGAGAGAGAGAGAGAGAGAGAGAGAGAGAGAGAGAGAGAGAGAGAGAGAGAGAGAGAGAGAGAGAGAGAGAGAGAGAGAGAGAGAGAGAGAGAGAGAGAGAGACAGACAGACAGACAGACAGACAGAGACAGACAGACAGACAGACAGACAGGCAGACAGACAGACAGACAGACAGACAGACAGACAGACAGATTCTAAGGCAGAGACAGACACACAGACAAAGAGAAAAGCAGAGTCATAGAGAGAGAGCGAAAGAGACACAGATATAGAAAGAGACACACAGAGAGGCACAGAGAGAGAGGCCCAGACAGAGAGACAGAGACAAAGACAGAGAGATACAAAGAGCGACAGAGACGCAGACTGCGAGAGACACATACAGAAAGACAGATCTAGACAGACAACTACACAGCGACACAGACGCAGAGAAACACAGAGAACATAGACACAGAGACAAAAAGACAGACAGAGAAGCGATGTGTTGACATAGTTCGTCATGTCATACATGTTCCCGTTTATTATCGTTAATTCTCATAAAAGTTCAAGTATTTGCTTTTGGCTGAATGATGTCGGGTCGACCCGAGCGCCATGTCGACCCGGGTAATGAGTCGTCGACCTGTTTCCCGGATAAACCCGGGCACCGCCAGGGATATATATATATATATATATATATATATATATATATATATATATATATATATATATATATATATATATATATATATATATATATATATTAACGGGGAAATAACTCTCCTTGTCTGCCCCTCAAGCAGACGATGTGTTTAACCCAGGGAGTAAAATTTAGACCAAGTAATTTTCAGACCAAACACCAGCCTGTTAAAAAATTGTGCTCCTTCACTAATGAGTCATTTTTTTCCCACCGCCATGTTTGTGTAATTTTCTGTCCATTCTTACCTGGTAACAGTTTTTTGGGTTACTGGTAGATGGAGTGGGATTGGGTCGTCTCGAGGTGGGGTAGGAATGGGTCTGGTCGGGTCCTGGTTGGGTCCTCGCAGTTTTCGGGCGGTTCGTTGAGTTATATCTGCTTGATGGGGTTCTGGGAGTTGTTCTACTCCCGCAAGCCCGGCCCGAGGCTAGGCTCGACTTGTGAGAGCTTGGTCCAACAGGCTGTTGCTTGGAGTGGCCCGCAGGCCCACCACAGCCTGGTTGACACCTGCTTCTTTGTGTCAGGTTCATGTGGTGGTTTTTGATGTTGCTTTATTTGTCACTATTAATTGGTAAAGTGAGAAAGTGAATAATAGGTAAGGTGAATAGTTCCTACTATGTTATTATCAGGCTGTTCATTGCAAATTCATACTTCGTTTGTTATTATCATCAGTTCGTTCTTCGTTTATCGGAATCATTATGATAGTTTGAGGTTTGTTTGTCAACACTAACAAACATATTGTGTCTTTCCACGTTTCCCATCGAGTATTATCCTTCTTTTTCTCATTAATTTCGTGTTTCGTATCGTGGCTTATTCTTTGTTAAGAATAAGCCACGATGTGTGTGTGTGTGTGTGTGTGTGTGTGTGTGTGTGTGTGTGTGTGTGTGTGTGTGTGCGCGCGCGCGCGAGTCCACCACCAGGAGGAAGAAACACAAGAACGAGACTAATATTAAAGTCAACAAGAGAGAGAGAGAGAGAGAGAGAGAGAGAGAGAGAGAGAGAGAGAGAGAGAGAGAGAGAGAGAGAGAGAGAGAGAGAGAGAGAGAGAGAGAGAGAGAGAGAGAGAGAGAGAGAGAGAGACTCACAGAGAATAACCAAACTGCCTGATGTAGTTAACCAGATTTCACCCAAAAAGGCTGAAACTGGACACAACGAAAATTGGCATTAATTACCAGGGGAACATATTTGTGCACTCGCTGGGACGAGGCACATTTGTAAATGGAAAAACATTATGTTTGCTTGTTCCCCGTTGACAGGGCGTGAAGGGATATCGTTCCTTTTATTAATGATTTCGCTTTAGTCCCATTTTTCGATCCCATTGGCGAGGAAAATATGTATCTATTGTATAGCAGAGGTTTACATCATTCATGTTGACTGTTTACCTCATTGCAGAGATTTGCCTCAGCCATATTGACTATCTATCTTTTCGCAGATATTTGCTTAAGCTATATTGACTGTCTATCTTATTGCAAAGGTTTGCCTCAACCATGTTGACTGTCTATATTACAGCAATGTTGTATATCTGCCCTGCTGACTGTCTCTCGTGTAGCAGTGTTTTGTTTGAGCTATGTTTGATTGCTTATCTTATAGCAGTGTTTTCTGTCTGCCATATTGACTGTCATATAAACAAAAACTGTATCCTCTGCTATGTTGATTATCTATCTTCTAGCAGAGTTTTGCCAAAGCCATGTATAGCAGAGTCTTACCTCTCTCATGTTGACTATCTTTGAATTAAAGCAACATGCTCCAAGAAACTCCAATATGTTGCAGGTACAGGATGATGAGGATGATGATGAAGATGTTGAATACTCGTATTTACGCGGCATGTTGATATATGGTGATATTGCATGATATTGATGTTGGCCACTTGAGCAGCATGTTGACCTGTGTGAGTTGATGATGCATGTGGAGGTGTAATGTTGCTTTATTCTTGCAGTAGTCATAGTGATGGACAACCACTTGCATGATTTGTCTTTAAATGTTGATATGGCATTGCAATGCAATATTTCTTAAGTATATTTAAGTTAGAAAAGTAATACCAACGCAATAATTTATCTGAAAGGTTTTGGATTTTTGTTTTTATTTTAACTAAATTATTATGATTAACTGTTATTGTCATTAGCATTATCTTCATTATGAAGATAATGAAGATTTAATTCATATTCAGAGACTAGGGTGATTTGTCTGATTATTAATCCTGTGTCACATGGTTTGTTGACGTTTGTCAGCTGGTGTCTGTTGACTTAGTGTCAGCTGGTCTGTTGACGTCAGTATCAGCTTATCTGTTGGGAATAGCTACCAACGTCTTTATGTCTCAATATCAATTTATTTAATTCTTTTCCTGTGTTGTTATTGAGCATTAATTACTCCTCTCTTCCCTTACGGCAGAATGCACCTTCAGTTTCCCCCCCCCCCTTTTGTATTAAGCATGTGACCTTGAGTTCACTGCTCACAGCTTCCCACGTATCAGGTAACTTCTTGTGTAAACAAGATCCATCTCTTGGTTTTCTTCTCCTCGTCTCCTCTCGATCAAGAGACTTCTCAGTCTCCTCACGGATTACCTTCCTTCCTACCTACTACTTTCTACACTTCTCCTCTTACGAGATTCTCAAGTTCCACTGTTAACTCTTCCCTTGAAGCCCCCGTTCCCTTCCTTAATCTGCAGTGGCTGTGTATTCCTTTCGCCTGGACTCACCCGGCAGTGGGAGACGTCACCGACACGGAGAAGGACTGGATCGGCTCCGTGCCTACCGAACAGATTGGGCTCTACATGGACTACTGCCTCTTGCTCGTCTTCGGCGGCATCCCCTGGCAGGTAGGTCCTGGTGCCTATTATATTGCAGCCTTCTACACTGCTTCCTTCCTCCTTTTGGAGTTGTGATAAGTGATTCTTTTCATATCTTACATTCTTTCAATTAATATTAAAAATCTGCCTATATTTTGGAAATGTATTTACCGCAAGATTACCGCAGATTTTGGCAAATTTCTCCTGCTGACAGAATAAATTCTTAGAGAGATTTATTATTATTCATTTATTTATTAAGATACAGCTTTACAAAGTTGTATCGTAACTTTCCGTAGGATGACTTGTATGGAACGAAACACACACACACACACACACACACACACACACACACACACACACACACACACACACACACACACACACACACACACAAAGTGTGCTAAGCAAGTCTAAGTTAGTTTTGCTTAAAATCTCAGGTCTAATTCCAGCCCCTGTATACATATCTCGTATGTAATCTCCCGACCACTGAAAGACATTCTCTGTGTTGCAGGTGTACTTCCAGCGGGTGTTGTCGAGCAAGTCCGGGCACAAGGCTCAGGTCCTCTCCTATGTTGCGGCTTTCGGCTGCCTCATCATGGCTGTTCCACCAGTCATCATCGGGGCCATCGCTAAGGTCACCGGTAAGGACCCGATGGCTGGAGGAAGTGTGTGTATTTGGGTTCTGATAGGCAGCATGTTAAATTGATAGGCTGGACGGCATGATGTGGACCTGATGGGCAGAGCCGCTTGAAGGGATCTGACCAACTTGATGGGACCTGGTGAGCAGAGCATCAGCAAACTTTGAAGGGTGACTGATGGGAGTAGATGGGGGGTTGAGGAAGGGGGGGAGGGGAAGGGTTTATCCCAAATGTTCCACTTGGTATCAGGTTCCAATCTTTCGTGAAATCAAACACAATCCTCGTTAAGGTTCGTACATTGAACAACGAAATAATGACTTCACCAATGTCAAATGAGCTCCTATGCACAGCTCCAGGAATAGGTTGACAAGGAACATTGGTTGATGAGAACCGTTCGTATCGTTTACCAAATTCAATACTCTTCACCACCTTCCCTATCCTTCATCACCTTCCCTACCCTTCACCACCTTCCCTATCCTTCACCACCTTCCCTATCCTTCACCACCTTCCCTATCCTTCACAACCTTCCGTTTCCTCTGCTCTTCACAACTTCCCTTCATCCCTATAAACCTAATGAGGATGGAGCCTTTTATTTAACGAAATTGTAAATTAGTCTGATTGACCATTCATGTGAATATATGAACACGAGGCTCGACTGCCTTATGACATCCCCAGATAAAGACCAGTCACCCTGCAAAGGTTAGTGAGGCTAGCTCCCAATCTCGCAGAGGCAGACATTGCCTTTAATTGATAATTATATACCAATAAGTCTTTTGTTATCTTCACCATCCTAACTCTGCACTTCCCCTCCCTTCATATACCCGTTATCTCTACCTTCCGCAATGTTCATCTGAACACCTTTCCTTCACCCACGCTTTCCTTTCACACATTTAACGCCTCTTTTTCCCTCGAGCATATCTCTTCACTCTTCAATAACATGATCTCTTCTACACCACCCCACGTGAGCAGCCTGGAACGAGACGGGGCTGGAGTGTGAGGATCCAGTGACCTGTATCACCAGCAACCACACGGCCATGATACTGCCCTTGGTCATCCAGTACCTCACTCCCAGCTACATCTCCTTCTTCGGCCTGGGCGCCATCTCCGCTGCCGTCATGAGCTCCGCCGACTCTTCCGTCCTCTCCGCCGCCTCCATGTTCGCTCGGAACATCTGGAAGCTCATCTTCAGGCAGAATGTGAGTGGGAAAGAGAGTTCCTCTTCTCAGGCAGACGGGGTGGGAGAGAGTGATCCTGTCCAACACTGACGTGAGGTCATGTCTGAATAATGCCTTCGGTTGTTACAGTTTTGAGGAGAGTATAGAAAATTTAGTGTGCCACCCTGGCCCCCTCCCTCACCTCTCTTTCTCCTGGCACAGGCGAGTGAGACGGAGGTCATCTGGGTGATGAGGGCTGGCATCTTCATCGTTGGCTTCCTGGCTACTACCCTCGCCCTCACCATCCCCTCTATCTACGGTCTCTGGTAAGTGCCCTCACCATCCCATGTTGCTTCTACCTTGGCCAGTGGTATTGCAGACAACTTGGGACGTTCGCGATCCTAGTCAAGTGGACTCTCCATCACAAACAAATTTCTATACAACTCCATCAATCAAATAGTAGCATCTTCATAGTCTCCTCCGGGGACTGGTGCCTTTCCGGAGTTACGTCTCATGTCTCCAGGCGTGAGTTGACGGGATTACAGCCCTGACTTTCAATGGAAAGGTCAGACAGTGCGTAATTACTCCTTCACCTCACTCACTACCCCGTGTTACTCCATCCAAAATTGCTGCGTCACTCGTCAGATATCACCACGTTAAATAAAGTTTACTTGACCCCACAACTTGAGCTGATAACGTATTTTGGCAACATTGCAACACATCGTGATACAATGTGTGCACATTGACCACCTACATCTAGTATGTACAAAGTGAGAAATCATCCAGTTCCCACACTCCCATTTACAGTTTCTAAACTATATGGAAGTTCTGTCATAATTAGAACCTGCCCTCGTTTCCTCCCTCTCTTCCCCCTGCAGGTACTTATCTTCGGACCTGGTGTACGTGATCCTCTTCCCACAACTGCTGATGGTGGTCCACTTCCGTAACCACTGCAACCTTTACGGCTCCCTGGCCGCCTACATCATCGGGTTGGTGGTGCGTCTCCTGGGTGGAGAGTCCATGATTGGCATCCCTCCCATCGTCAAGTAAGCATCGCGTGTTGGTCTCTTTTCTGGTCCGAGTAATGTTTTGTATTGACTCTTTTGGAGGAAGATATTTTAACGAAACAGAATTAGAAAACGGCTCAAAATGGGGTTTTGATATTGTTTCCTTCGTGTTTCTCTTCGATCCAGGTATCCCTGGTACGATGAAGAGAATGAAGTGCAACTCTTCCCCTTCCGGACGCTTTCCATGATCCTCTCCGGACTCTTCCTAGTCTTCGTGTCCATGTTCACACGGTGGGTGTTCGAAACAGGTCGACTTGCGCCCAAGTACGACTTCTTCCGCTGCGTCACTAACATCCCCGATGACGTTCAGAAAGTGGGTGAGCCGCAGGAGGGAGAGATGAGCATCATGACGTGCCACAACGTCGTCAAGTACAACTCCACCGACGAAATGAACGGCCGAGTGAACCCGGCTCTCACCCTCGGCTCCGACAGCGACGAGGATATCCCGGCCCCTACCACCACCACCGCCGACGGCAAGATCAAGAAACGACTCGTTGGAGAGATCATCTCGCCTCCTCCCATCACCTCCCCCAAGAAGCACGATCAAACGAAGCTGTGAAATAAGTAGAGAAAGCCGGACGCTCCTCTGGCTTCCCCGAGCCACGGCTCTCGTCTCCCTTCGTGCTAACTTCTATACAACTTTACCAACTGTATCGGAAATCTCATTGTGTTAGGAAATGGGCAAACTTTCATCCTGAAGGTAAATGAGCTACGATTCGTGTTGTTCGACAGTCCAGATCGACAAATATTATGTGCGCTGAAATGTCGGTGGCGCCAACTCTAATTTCTGGGCGCTGAAAGAGGAATATATTTTTATTTCAAGTCCAAGAGAAATCAGTCTGACATCTGAAGACAGCTGGCGTCACCACTGAACTCTTTACGAAATGATGCTAATAGTACTTGACCCTAGTGGGAATTTGACCCTAGTGGGTACTTGACCCTAGTGGGTACTTGACCCTAGTGATAATTTAACCCCAGTGAGCATTTTAGAAACAAGTACTTGTGAAGGGGTGGAGGGAAGGGATGGGAGAGGAGGAAGGGATAAATCAATCACGCAGCTTGATAGGCCTACTCGGCCTTCCCGAACAAGTTGGAAATGTCTCAAGGAAAATATTCGTTACGCTTCAGTTCTTACAAAGCGCAATAGGTCCCCCTCTCTCTCCCCCCTTGACACCCTTCCTCCTCCTCCAGCATCTTCCCTCTGTCGGTCAACAGTAGCACTACCTCTCACGTCTCTCTCATGTCCCCTCAGAATAGCACTGTGTTCACTAAAGCGATACAGGTGTGCGTAGTTCTTGTCAGTTGATTATTTTTGTAGGGAAATAGTTTTTTCAAGGTGTCAGTTCATCCTTTTTGGGGGGGGGGAGAGGTTCGGATCTTGGGGGGGGGGAGAGGTTCGGATCTTGGGGGCGGGGGAGAGGTTCGGATCTTGGTGCTTAGAATAGCATCACGTAAAGGAAAAAATTGGGACTACGTGAGACAACCGTTTTATCTTTGACACCGGTGAAGGACTTTGGCCCGTATTGTGAAGCTCCCTAAGGCCTAAATGATTTGAGAAGCTCGCTGTGGCCTCCGCCTTTTCGAGTCTTCGAACACTCCTCGAGCGTAACTTCTGTCGTGATTTGTATTTTGTTAAATCACGATAAATAAACGAGTCATTGGCTTCTAAATCACTCGTTTGATAATAAACATACCAATCAGTCGTTTCTAAATGACCGGTCAGAGAGTAAACAAACCGGCTTTTCTCAAGAGGTCTGAGAAAGTTTCAATCAATCCGGAATTCCCAAAATGTGAGAATAAACAACATTCCAGTGTGTTCACCTTTCCAAACGAAATGTCTAGTTTGATCTATCAAACATAAAAGTATATCAGGCCTCAACCCGCTTACATAAACCATCGATTGTAAGTAGAGAGATATAACTTGACTTACTGAAGATTAACTGTTACTTTATAACTATAATCAAGTACATTCCGGTATTAATATACTCTCATTAAGACCAGGAATGATACAAATTCTTACACCGAACAGCTAATAGCATGGCTAATTGCATATAAATATCCATTTAAGAATCTATTTGGATTAAATCAACCAGTGATATGGTTCATTGAAGCTAAATAACCAATGACGTTGTTGGCTCCTGTTATCAAACTAACCAATGAAGCCATTGAGGTAGCTTCGTGTGGGTATTCAACGCTTTTTATTATCTCAGAAAGTTGCATTTGCATTTTCAATATCATTGGAGTCTTCCACGAACATTAGAACAGTGCATACATTATTTTCTTTTAAATTGTGCTGTTGATTTATTTTCTTAAATTAAAATGCCATCGGAATTATTGTGACACTTTTATTATTATCTTGGGAATAATTCAACAGTTGGATAATATATTTCGTTATTGTTCAGAAGGACAAGACGTTTCAAATTATGTAATAAAGTTTGTGACTTTATTGCTGTTCTCACAGTTACCAACGGTGGTGCTTTATTGCAGCTCTCACAATTACCAACGGTGAGAGCAAGACACAATTAGGTAAGCACCGGCCGAGCAACGAAGCTTTAACGAGACGCTCGTTATTTCTGTTAAATAAAATTTCTATCTCCAAAACTTTATCTACAAAAAAATATCGGCTTTCAAATATTGCAAAAATATTGTATTTCGATGTATTTTATTGCATCCAAAAAATATTCATTCAGTATTTCAGTTTGAAACGACATTTGTTTCTCAATAATTCTTTCGTATTTCTCAAGAATTATTAAAGTTATAAACGTATTCGAACATGTTTCTCAATTTACGTTAGTCGTGTTTATATTTTTGTTAATACTTAAGTGTTTAAAAGTAACTTAATCTTCACTAGTAACTAAATGTTTACTAGTGACTAAATGTTCAAGCGTAACTAAATGTTTCCTAGTAACTAAATGTTTACTAGAAATTAAACGTTCACTAGTAAGATAATCTTTATTAGTAACTAAATTTTTACTAGTAACTAAATGTTTACTGGTAACTAAATATTTACAAGTGACTAAATGTTTACAACTAACTAAACATTCACTAGTAACTTAATCTCCATTAGTAACTAAATTGTTACTATAGTAACTAAATGGTTACTAGTAACTAAATGGTTACTAGCAATTAGATGGTTACTAGCAATTAGATGGTTACTAGCAATTAGGTGGTGAGTAGAGTACTTAACCATTAACTCTGCGTCAGACGACTTTGAGCGAGCCCTTGCGTCAAATATGATTAAACATTTGTATCTGTGTTATATAATTCTAGCAGTCATGAGACTCGTTATTCAGGAAAAAATGTCCGTATCAAAAATCACCCACGTACTACAAATACAAATAATCGCCAACAGAACCTAAACACCTAACCTAACTAACCTAACCTAACCTAACCTAACCTAACCTAACCTAACCTAACCTAACCTAACCTAACTAATGCCTAAATATACACAGTATGCTAATATATAACAATATTAATTTATACTTGAGAAAATTCCCATTTTTGAATGGACAGCAACTGATGAATGCGTCTTTGGGGGTCGACCACTGGATGGAATGGACTTGGTCTGAATACGGGTTGAAATGCTTCCCCTACATACAACAAATACAAATAATTACCAGCAGAACGTAAATAGCTAATCTAGCCTAACTTGCGACTAAATTTTCGCAATATTTTAACAGATAACAGTATTAATTGATATTTGAGAAAATTCCTATTCTGAACGAACAGCATGTTAATACTGATGAATGCGTCGGCCGCTGGATGAAGTGAACATAGCATAAGGACGGGTTGATAAATCGTAAATTTGTAAATGTTCACCTACGTACTTCAATTGAAAATATTTGCCAAACAGAACCAAAACATTTAATTAACTTATACTTTGTCCAACACAAAATTATTATATTGGATTATGTACGAGGAAAATGGCATTTATGGTTATATATTATGTTGAAACAGACGAATGTATCTTTAGGGCTGACTAAAGCATAGACGGTATTGCCCGAGGAAAGGTATTTGGCCAAACTTGATTGAGGTTCTGGGTTCTCTGAGCGTTTTATTTTGATTCTGGTGATGCTCGTATCCTAATGAGCTCGAGAGGAAGAACCATATCTGAACCTTTCATGAGTTCTTTAATGATCTTGTCAAACCTTTTCATCTCTGAGTTATGATTGGTTGTGCGGTAATAAACACTCCAAAACCTTCTTCTAGGCATTGAAATCGTCGTTAGCTTATCCTCGTTAGCGAAATATGCGCGTGACTTGGGTGTTCGGGCTGACGCTAAGACGCTTCCCACCTTCTGTCAAGACAATCGACGACTATGATGAATCTTCAGATCAACCTGAATCTTCAGATTCAGCCTTCCGTGAGAGCTGAATCTTGCCTCAATATTGAGAGAACTAATGAGAACAAATCATGTAACTTGAGTGAGCGGCGACTTACTGATAGAGAGGCAGGCAAGACATATGCCTACAAGAAACCGAAAGTGAGAGATAGTGTATATACTAAGGTGCCTAAAGGTGCCCTTAGTGCCAGGTAGTGTATATGCTGAGGTGCCTAGAGGTGTCCCCTTAGTGCCAGGAAATGTATATACATGTGGTTGTGATACATATTGTAAGCAGTGTGACGTCATGGTTGTTAAGTAGATGTGTAAAGTCATTGTTTTGTATAATCGTTAACATCCCCCCCCCTCCCCCCACCCCCTCACTCAAACAAAAACAAATGAGCATATGTATAAAATATTTGTTGGCGAATTTTTTCATGTTTATTTCACTATCATGGTGCATTTGCGTTGCTATTTGTAAAATGATTCATTCAGAAATATATTTAATGGTGATGTTGGCTGTGTTGATTATTTACAAATTCTGATCAGCTGGTTAGCAAGAAGTCACTATATGACAGGTGACCTCAGCTGCTGAGCTTGCTAATTAGTTGCTTAGGTCAACCAATCAGTGAGTTCTTGTGACGTCACAGTTAATGAGTTCAGCGACCAATCAAGAGTTACTGTTCTGGTGTTGTGTTTACAATGCAACGCCATTTCACTGATAACAAATTAATGGCGCTAATCTGTCTGGACTTTAAAATAGAGGAGTAACATATACGAACAATCATACCTAGATCAAATACATGACTTTCAAGAAATGTTGACAAGAGGCAAATTTTCTTTGTATAATTCATAACTCAAGTTGGATTTAGTTTAGAATGAGTTGGGGATAATTTATGTGATGGTTTTAGAACTGCTGATGAGAGAGCTTCATAAATCCCCATGTATCCTGTTGCATGTATCTGTGTCTTGGCTTCTCTCAAGAGACCTCTATCTTTTTCTCTCTCACACTCTTCCATGTTTTTGTTTCCTCTCCCAAACTATCTTCTTTCACCTGTACTTTCTCTCTCTCTCTCTCCCTCGCTCTTACCGCTTTTCACCTGTCATTCCTTCCTCTCTTCTATCTCTCTTCAAGTTCTCCCACACTCTCTCTCTCTCTCTTCCCTTCTCCTCCTATCTCCCACCCTCCCGTCAGCAGTATTCTCCCCCAGCCCCCAGTGGCTAAAGGCTTCTCCCCAGCCCACATCACGCACTCCATCCAACATCTGCATCAGAGGCAATAACACCTGACTCTCCTCAAGCTTTAACTTCACGTGGAACTCTTCCATCTCACGATACTTGACCATCTACCTATCTCTCCTTCTTGTTTCCTTCTATATATATATATATATATATATATATATATATATATATATATATATATATATATATATATATATATATATATATATATATATATTTATTTCATGGATCAATGAGTATTTCATATGAACTAAGATTTTACAGTGTATAATTATTATATTTTGTACATATAATTGTGTGTGTCTATGGCAGCTTTTGATAGATTGTATTCATGGTTAAATTCGCAACCTACAGGGAGGGTAGAGATAGTGATTGTGATGAGTGGCGTCCGGGGGTGAGAATGAGCATCTGAGTGCAGCTATGTTGACTTTATCATGCTCGGTGAGTGGCAATGTTGTCATCATCATAATGCTTGGTGAGTGGCTTTGTTGACATCATCATAATGCTTGGTGAGTGGCTTTGTTGACATCATCATGCTTGGTGAGTGGCACTTACCCTAAGCCTTTTGTTAATAAAGTTAGTAATGCTAATATTAATCTAACAACATCACTGTTATTTTTTTCTTGCAGTTCTAAATTATTGTTAAAATTATTATTATTCAATGTAATACTAATTGTTATTATTATTATTATTATTATTATTATTATTATTATTATTATTATTATTATTATTACAATTTGTATTGTTAACGTTATTGCAAAGTCTATTTAGATATTCAC